AGGAGCTGGGGGCAGATGGATGAAAATGTGTCAGGCGGGACGGAACCAGATACCACCTCGTGACAGCTTTAAAGGTCGATTCAATGGTGAGAATATTAATGGGGCAGAAAGTCAATGTAGTCCAAATTTGTGACCAGGAACACCTATCCTTGATGCTTTTGAGGTCCCATTCCCACCTAAAAATGTAAGTGTGATTGTTGGGATTTTGGAGGTTATTCAACTGTGAGTAGATGTACATTTGGGAGAGAAGGGCGTCCGATGACAAATATGTTCAAACAATAACTGTAGCTGCTGACTTTTAATAAAAGGACTCTTTATCTGTCCAGGGATCTAGCTCCGTCCTCACCCAGGCTGATTCTTTGCCAGTCTTTGAGTCCCCGGTGCTGCATGTTTAACCACCTCCCACCCGCCATATAGTCCACTGACGGGCGCAAGGTGGTTCTCTCGTTCTGAGAGGACGCCATATGAAGTCCTCCCATTCTCACTGCGCATGCGCGGCTCAGGGAGCGTGCGGCGATTGGCGGTGCGCTGTGTCCCTTGGACACAGCGGATCACCGATCACGCAAAGAGCTGAAGATATCGGCTCGGTCATGTGATCAGCTGTGTCCAATCACAGCTGATCACATGTAAACACGGAAATGCCGGTTATCTCTCCTCTCGAGCTGTCACGCTGACAGAGGAGAGGAGAGCCCGTAATCAGCTTTCCGCGGAGGGGACATGTAAACTGATCATCAGGGCACTGATGATCAGTGTGCCCTGATAATCAGTGTAGCCCCAGCAGTGCCACCTGTCAAAGTCCATCAGTGCCAGCTGTCAGTGCCTATCAGTGCCACGTGCCAGTGCCTATCAGTGCCACATCAATGCCACATATCAGTGGCCGTCTGAGCTGATTGCTGCCTTTCAGTGTCATCCATCAGTGCCAGTCAGTGCCACCTATCAATGCCAATCAGTGCCACCTATCAGCGCTGCCAATCAGTGCCACCTATCAGTGGCAGTCAGTGCTGCCTATCAGTGTGCATCAGTGCCGCCTATCAGTGTGCATCAGTGCCACCTGTCAGTGCCGCCTAACAGTGCCAGTCAGTGCCGCCTAACAGTGCCAGTCAGTACCGCCTATCAGTGCCAGTCAGTGCTGCCTAACTGTGCCATATATCAGTGCCATGTATCAGTGCTGCCTATCAGTGCCCATCAGTGATGCCTGTCAATGCCCATCAGTGCCACCTACCAGTGCCTCCTCATCAGTGCCACCTATCAGTACCCATCAGTGCAGCCTATCAGTTCCCATCACTGCAGCCTCATTAGCGCACATCAGTAAAGGAGAAAAATCACTTATTTACAAAATTTTATAACAAAAACTAAGAAAAAAACGCTTTTTTTTTTCAAAATTTTCAGTGGTTTTTGGTTTGTTTAAGAAAAAATAAAAAAAAACCCAGGTGATTAAATATCACCAAGAGAAAGCTCTATCTGTCACAAAAAAATGATAAAAATTTCATATGGGTACATTGTTGCATGACCGCGCAATTGTCATTCAAAGTGCGACAGCGCTGAAAGCTGGAAATTGGGCTGGGCAGGAAGGGGGTAAAAGTGCCCTGTAGGCGAGGGGTTAATAAGGAAAGACGGCTGTGGCTTCATAGCCAGCTTCCCACTGCGTATGTGCAAACTGTGCTGTGCTTTTAGAATGATTCTGCAGCCTTCTGGGTCCCCACCCAAAAAAAAAAAATTATAATGTGCCAAATGTGGTAGAAGAGGGGGTAGGAGGACATAAAGCAGAACTTCCCCTTTAGGGTGAAGGCTTATCCTTCTTGCTTTGAGTTGAAGGTACTCTTGCTGGGCAGGGAGATGGCAGTTGGTAGATCTTAGCTAAGCAGAGTCAGAACCCAATAACAAAGTAAAATCAAGGGACGCAGAGGAGGCTATTCTAAGTATTAAAGTAATTACAGGCATTTTTTATGTCTGCTTTATGGCAGGGTGTTTACTTATAAAAGTTTAACATTGAGCAAGGACCTGTGTCGCCCATATTCAATGGACAGCATGATTTTCACATCAGTTTGAGACACTTTTGAAATCATTTAGAACCCATTTGCAGGTGCAGTTGATTTGCATTTGATCTACTTCAGCTGTTTTTACATTCCTGTAGACTTGTATGAAGGAGAAGCAGTTTTGAGAGAACATAAGCCCATTAATACTGGTGCTAAGGTTTACTGTAAGGTACCCACAAACATGAGACGATCTAGCACTAACCTAATATTTATATGTCCTAGGCAACATTGTGGACATTTCTAGGGCAAAATTGTGGACCAAATGCTCTTGGGGAACAATGAATGGGACAAGGTCAAAAGCCTGCCCAAATCACTGTGGTTCCCTTCTCAAGCAATCCTCTCCAGTGCTGCCTGATACTGATGCTTCAGTTACGTTGAGCTGCCTGTTCACACTCATCTAACTACCCTATGAGGGCAATAGGACACCTCTATTTCTGCTATGGTGATAAATTGGGCTTTAGTATATGGACCACATATAGCTCAGGCCCCTGTTGAGCTCTGCTAATCTGCCCCAGGTTTTTTACCCATTTGGATGTACCAGCAGCCAGGCAAACAACAACTTGGACTATCTTACAACTCAGTGATCAGGGAAGGGAAGTCTTTTTATACTTTAATACTCATTGAACTTGGCTGGGATGCAGGGTGGGCTTTGGGATACTCCAAATTTAGTGCACTAATAAATCAGAGGACACTCTCTGCCTTGTCTACACTCTTCAGGATAATTCCCCTCCTGGCAAACAATACCCCCCTATTTTTATTCCCCCCAAGCAACCCTGGGGCACCAGGAAAAGTCCCAATCCAACAGCACTGGAGCAGATACCCAAAGAGTTAGCGCAACGAACAGTAACTAGAATCCTATATCAAGGCCTATGCTCACAATGTCTCTGTATACTTGGATGCTTCCATCCAATATCGGGCAAACACTTCTCCAGTGAGTCTCCAGGCCAGATCCTCAGTGACTCAACTGCATCCAGCAAATAGGCCTCCCAGCTCTCACTGAGCTGGGGTCTCAATGAACTCCTGCAGACTTCAGCTACACTTCCCAGAAGGGCAGTAATCCTTCAGGCTGGGATCTTCTCCTGGACAAGAACTGTCCTGTTCCAGGCCTCAAACTATTTATGCACTCCTCAGCCACCTACTAGGCATCCTCCCCCAGGGACTGGCTGAGACCACATATATGTTCAGGCAAAGGGTCTGCCTTTTCCAACCCACTACTTTCTAGAATCCACTAGAAGGCAGGGAGAAGTAGTTGAGCCTGTAGCCAGTGAGACCCAGAACAGTCAAAAATTATTATTATTATTATTATACAGTATTTATAAAGCGCCAATAGTTTGCTCAGCGCTGTACATTACAAAGGGGGACAGAACATGTGACAGAACAATACCAATACAATGCAAAACATGAGGGGATCGAGGGCCCTGCTCTTTCGAGCTTACAATCTAGGAGGGAGGGGATGGTGGTACAGGAGGAGATAGCTGTGGGGGATGGAGTGGTAGGAAGAGTGGAGGAGGTCGGCAGGTTAGCAGGGGGTGAGGTAGGCTTCCCTGAAGAGATGGGTTTTCAGGGTGCGCCTAAAGGAGAGGAGAGTAGGTGATAATCTGATGGGTTGGGGCAGGGAGTTCCAGAGGATGGGTGACACCCTGGAGAAGTCCTGGAGGCGGGCATGGGAAGAGGAGACCAGGGAACTAGAGAGAAGGAGGTCTTGTGAGGAGTGGAGTGTGCATGTTGGGTGGTACTTGGATATTAGGTCGGTGATGTAGTACGGGGCAGTATGGTGGACGGCTTTGTACGTCAGTGTTAGGATTTTGAATTTGATCCGTTGCACAATCGGAAGCCAGTGGAGGGATTGGCAGAGGGGTGGCGGTGGCGGAGATGGAGCGGTTGGAAAGGTGAATGAGTCTGGCAGCCGTATTCAGGATCGACTGAAGCGGGGATAGCCAGCGGCGAGGCAGGCCAGTGAGGAGGGAGTTGCAGTAGTCGAGTCGTGATATGATGAGGGAGTGGATGAGCTGTTTAGTGGTTTCTGGGGTTAGGAACGTGCGGATTTTGGCGATGTTGCGGAGGTGGAGTCTGCACGAGATTGTTAAAGATTCATTTAAAGAATCATTCACCGCTCCAGTGATTTCAGAGGAGGCAGAGAACTTTACCTGAGCCTCTCTAGGACCCTCTTCTAGGAGGGTGCTACACACACAGGGGCGGACTGTCCATTTGGAAACTCGGGCACTGCCCGAAGGCCCGGGGTCAGTAGGGGGCCCCATGAGATGCCCCTGGTACCTTTTTCATAGGCTTTTTTGAGTTTTGGCAAGGACACAGGGGCCCCATGATCCCCTATTGCCCGGGGGCCCCATGAGTTGTCAGTCCGCCCCTGCTACACACATAAAAAAATAATTGTGCAAAATATAACTGTGACTCATTAAAAAAATGAAAACAGTCATCATTTTAAAAAAACACGTGAAAACCTATGAAGGATGAAGGAAAATAAATTAGCAAATCGATGACATTGTTGAAGCGTAAGTATATTTATACAGAATGTATCTCTAAAAGAAAACCAAAAGGTAGAGCTACTCATTAATAAGAAATAATTCCCTAAGCTTAATATCTGGGTCTGCCTTAGAAGCTCGGCTTGTAATCTGCCCTCAAAGACGAGAGTTGGACAGCTCTGCTAGAGATCAGTTAATGGCCTTTCTCTCCTGCCTTGGCTGCGTAGGCTGACTATGTATTAAAGGGATTCTCTGCATTTTAATAGGCAACACACTCTGTAATCTCTGCAGGCTTACCAAGAACAATAGTTTAAGGATCTGTGCCAAAAACCAGGTTTACATGGCCATCTGACGTTTGGAGATTGATCGTATATTGACCGATTTATAATATCGTTACTTAATGATTGTTCCTGGTAAATTAAGGTTCCGATTGTCCTATTTTTATTTTTCCGTCCAAGCTTATTTCTGTCTCTCTGTGGTATAGGGTGACATTTTCTGAGCCTCTCGGCGATGTGATTTGGGATTATGGAGAGAAAGAGCCACAGCACAAGGTCACATGCCTGGCACTGGCCCAGCTGATCTACAGAAAATGCTCTAGCCTTAGGAAGGCGGCTCTCTGTATGTGTGTACAAGGACAAATCCAGGGAGTCCTCGACTACACCTACCAGAGCAAACGCTTTTTATTAGGTAATCCGTTTTATGAATTGGGGTCATATGTTGTCTGTCTAGTATGGAGAAAGATACATTTAAAGGCTAACTCCACTTTTGTAGAAAAAAATAGCACATAAAAAAGCATAAACAATTGCTACACAAGCCATAATCTAATGTCATTAAAAATTACATTTTCTTTTTTTATCTGCAGTGCTGTAATTTTATGTAAACTTCAATGAAATATGGCAACTTGGAGGTGTTATGTATGCTGCTGGTGTACAGAACGCCACCAAAAATGTCATTTCCTGCGTGTGTGAATGGCTCCTTGATTTTCCCAGACTGTCAAATCTCAGGCACTCACTGCAAGAGAAATTTCAGTTTTGGTGAAATGATCTTCTCACAAACAAAAATTTCCCAGCACACTTACCAGCCAGCTTGCAAAAAAAAAAAACAAACAAACTGACTCTGTGTAAGAAGTCAAGTTAAAAACAGAGGGTTTTGTTGCACACATTTGCAAATATATATTACGTGTAAGCCGCAGTGCCTACATCAAGGCTCCTCTGTATACTGCAGTCCTAACTGTAGTTATGAGAGTCTCCAAGTTGGAGCACAAATAGTGGATAGATTAGGGGAAGGTGTGCCTGGAGGGAGCCCACCCCTCCTTAAATACAGAGAGACACATGCAGGGGCGGACTGACAACTCATGGGGCCCCCGGGCAATAGGGGATCATGAGGCCCTATGTCCTCGCCCCTCCTTAAATACAGAGAGACACATGCAGGGGCGGACTGACAACTCATGGGGCCCCCGGGCAATTGGGGATCATTGGGCCCCTATGTCCTTGCCCCTCCTTAAATACAGAGAGACACATGCAGGGGCGGACTGACAACTCATGGGGCCCCCGGGCAATAGGGGATCATGGGGCCCCTATGTCCTCGCCCCTCCTTAAATACAGAGAGACACATGCAGGGGCGGACTGACAACTCATGGGGCCCCCGGGCAATAGGGGAGCATTGGGCCCCTATGTCCTCGCCCCTCCTTAAATACAGAGAGACACATGCAGGGGCGGACTGACAACTCATGGGGCCCCCGGGCAATAGGGGATCATGGGGCCCCTATGTCCTCGCCCCTCCTTAAATACAGAGAGACACATGCAGGGGCGGACTGACAACTCATGGGGCCCCCGGGCAATAGGGGATCATGGGGCCCCTATGTCCAAACCCCTCCTTAAATACAGAGAGACACATGCAGGGGCGGACTGACAACTCATGGGGGGGCCCCCGGGCAATAGGGGATCATGGGGTCCAAACCCCCCTATGTCCTCGCCCACACTCAAAAAAAGCCTATCAAAAAAAGGTACCAGGGGCATTTCATGGGGCCCCCTACTGACCCCAGGCCCTCGGACAGTGCCCGAGTGTTTGAATGGTCAGTCCGCCGCTGGACACATGTGACATCTAGCAAGAGCACAAAGGCAGCTGCAGGCATCCAGTACATCCCCACATCAAATTCAACCAACTGTACAAACAAGTGGCATCCGCCCCAATCTATAACTTTTTAAGGGTTAAATACTTCTAAAGAGATGCAGACCCTGCAATGTTTCTCATTATAACACTGAGAGTGCAGCTGATGATTATAATGAACAGGTTCTCCCAATCAGAATCAATGGAAAGGACATGGCCAAACAAACAGAACAGAAAAAGGTTGGAATCTGCTACAAAGTATATTAAAATGCCTGACATATACATTAATCACCCAGGGATTGGGTTTTTTTTTTCAGCAAAATTGGAGTTGTACTTTAAAGCTGACAGAAATAAATAAAACATCATTTATTTCAGTTATTAATTTGAATCAGTAAGGTATCTTAAAGTGCTTTTAAACCTCAAACATGAAATATGAACAAAGCATATCCCTCTATAGTGTGTACTTGTCTCAATTAGGAGCACTAAGTGTCATTTCTGTCTGCTGCTTTGTTCCTTTGCTAACAGCATGAGTCACATCTTACAAGTTTTCCTGACACCAAGAGAAAAATGGTGACTTAGTGCATCTTCCTTCAAGGGAGTTGTTAGGCTTTTATGACAATAAGGGTTCTTTCCTGGGTCTCTTCCTTGGCACAGCTTCCTTCATTAACCTCCCTGGCGGTATTCCCGAGTGTAGTTCGGGGTAAAGTTTCAGCACCACAAGCGGTAACCCCGAGCTACACTCGGGAATACACTGCAGTGCTGCTCCAGGATCTCTTCTTCACTTACCTTGTCCTTCGCTCCTGCAATGTCCCCCCTGCAGTGTCCCCGGCCATGTCCTCCGGCCAATGCCGGCATCTGTCTTCTGGGTTCCGTTCCCTGCGACGTCGGGACGTACGGGGGACGGAACTGGAGGGAAATTTGAAAATTGTAAAAGTGACATTCACTAAATTCACTAAAATCACATAGTATAACATTCCTGTATCAAACCATTTCACATACATTTTGTCCCGAGTCCGGCCTGCATGCATACTGTTCTTTCTGCCTGGAAACTGAGAAACATCCATGGCGTCCAAAAAGCCTCCCTTTAGGTCAAAAGTGGTTTTAGACCGGCTAGAGAACAGCGATAGTAAATCAGAACCACTTGCAGAATTGAGTGATAATGATTCGTGGGGGAAATTTGTCATCAGACACTGAAAACGATTCTGCGTCTTTGCTCAGTGATGTGCGAACTTGGCGCTATATTTCAAATTTCAGTGTTTTTGGTTTGATTATATTATATAATTCAAATTTATTATTATTATATTATTATTTTTTATGATTATTTATTAAATTATAATTTATGATTTCATGTTTCAAATTTTAGCATACCCGGGATGTTTACTAGACTCTTGATCGGACAGATTTCAGTGAGTTATTCCTAAAAATTACAGGCCTACAATAAAAAAAATACATATTTCCGTGCAAAAAAATGTACCACTTTGAGCACAGAAATATGGACATAATCAGACCGCTAGGGAGGTTAACAGGCAAGACATGAAATCAAAAAGCATATGTGGTGGATGGGTATAGGGTTAATATTCCCTCTGGAGGTACCATCCCTTCAGGGGCGGACTGACCATTTGGAAACTCGGGCACTGACCGAGGGCCCGGGGTCAGTAGGGGGCCCCATGAGATGCCCCTGGTACCTTTTTCATAGGCTTTTTTGAGTTTGGGCAAGGACACAGGGGCCCCATGTTCCCCTATTGCCTGGGAAGTCTGCCCCTGCATCCCTTAATATTTATTTGAAACAACAGCACTTAGAATTGGGACTATAAATGTACCTCCCGAGGTATAGAACAAGAACAAATATCAGTACATTAGAGCAATATTTTATTATTCACATATATGAATATCACAAATGTACATAAAAAAAAACGATTAAAATGAATAATGTCGCTTGGAGTGTAACCATATAACTTTTCAAAAGATACTAGGCTTAAATGGCCATATAGTAATTTATAGTACATTTATAGTAGTAATTCATCCCCCAATTCTAAGTGCTGTTCACAACATATTAAGGCAAGACCTTTGCTCCAGGACCACTTCTGGTCCCAAGTCCCCCCACACAAGTAATGGGACCTAATCGAGGGGGACAGATCATCCAGAGTTCAAGGTCTCCAGAAAGCACCTCCCCAGGCACTCAGCCTGGGGGAAAAAGAGAGCAATCACAAGCCCTGCCCCAAATATTTCTATCCTTCTCTCAGCATGTACCTTTAGCTTGAACCACCTACTGGTTTGGCTGAAGGAAATATAAATATTCATAACTCAGTCTTGTTATGAAATCTCATACTGCTGCCAGTTGGTACCAATGACGCCAACTGAAATCATAGCACAACTAAGCTAAGGAAAACACCAAGTGGAAAACTATACAATCAGTCTGGGCTAACTACCACTCACCCAAAAACGTAAATTTAGGTAATTGCCCCTGTTTAAGACAGGGTGCTACAAAAGTGCCAAAACGATCACTTATTAATGGATGTAATGTTAAACAAATGACGCTGAAGTTACACAGTAGGGTCCTAATGGATTTTATGGTAATGAGGCCCAACAAAAGGCCAACAATCTGAAAGCTTTTAATTAGTATTATTAGTTAATGAATGCCTTGTCTGTTTTTCGTACAGATGATTACCTATTCCTCCTTAAGAAATGTCCTACCATGGAGCTTATTAATGGTTTGACCAAAGAGTGGGATGGGAAGCCAGCAGCACTGTCTGTAGGTCAGGCTGTGTTATCTCTGCTGTGCACAGATCACAAGGAATATGGATTCAAACTGCTGGAGAACATTGGCCAGTGTGGAGAAGGTAAGTAGACCATCGTGATTTAAAACAGGCTTATTTTTTACTAGCTCAGTGCTTAAAGAAGAATTCCAGGTATGGCATATTTTTGCATGGATACCTTGGTCTAGCTTGGACTATGTATATACCATACCTGTGGGATCCCTCTGGAAGCTGAAAAACACTGTAATAGGTACCTCTACTCCAGTCATCCCCACTAGCTTCCATTTCCCATGCTGAGTAGCTGCCCTGCTACATTCTGACTACAGGAGATTGGCCACTTGGCATGGGCGCCATTTAGAGAATGCTTCTAATTTTCTTGATGAATTCAATGCATTCTCTGATTGGATGAGGTGGAGAGACGGGGCGATGACATGACACCTTGTCCTATCAAGAAGAACTTTGCATTTATTGAGAAAAAAAAGTCCAAGAGTCCGACGTCCTGTGTTCACAATGCAGCAGAGCAGCTGCTTCGCACAGGACCTGGTAGCTAGTGGAGATCACTGGAGTAGTGGTGCCCACTACAGTGATTTCCAGCTTCTAGAAGGGATTCCACAGTTATGGTATACATACTGTAGTTACATTGGTCCAACCTGGACGAACGTAAGGCTCCCTACCTGCATGGAGTTTGCATGTTCTCCCTGTGTTCACGCGGGTTTCCTCCAGGTACTCCGGTTTCCTCCCACACTCCAAAGACATGCTGGTAGGTGAATTGGCTCCTGTCTATATTGTCCCTAGTATGTGTATGTATGAATGTGAGTTAGGGACCTTAGATTGTACACCCCTTGAGGGTTAGGGACTGATGTGAATGTACAATATATATGTAAATTGATGGCGCTATAGAAGTACCTGAAATAAATAAATAATACACACAATGAGGATACCGGACGAATGATTGTCCGTTTTTTGTTTTTGCATGCTAGTCTCATATCGAATGTGAAGAGGTTACTAAAGTTACGAAACTTCTTGCACAACAGAATAAAAATTCAAAAGTGATGTACTGTTTTTTTGTATTGTATTTGTATTGTATTTTGGGACAAAAACATTACTGATTAAACTATAATCGTACGATCTGGTATTGTACATGAAAAATGTTTGTTTTTGTCTCTTCAATTAATTCCGGACAAATGCTGTGGACTAACAATTAGATTATCATACGATTGCTTTGAAAGCTTTATTTTTCGTACGATTTTCTGATCATGTGTACTAGGCTTATCTATGCAAAATATGCCATACCTGGAATTCTTCTTTGCAGGAAAGGTCCAACATGATGAATTATTGTATAGCGAAACCCTGGAAAAAAACATGCAATATATTACAGTTTACCAGACCTTAGATGTAATGACTGCATTAGTTGTTTTTTTCAGGCTCCTTTTCCTTTCATTATTTCACATAGTGATCATTCCAAAAACACTTCACTTTCCTAGGGTGACAACACTAACTCACTGTATTTTATCTGTGGAGGAACAGCATTGTAACCTTATGACAGGCAGTGTGTTGGGGCTACAAACCACATACTCATCTCTTCATCTCCATTGAGCCACACTCCCTGCTTAATTTCCTTAGGACTTGTTTACACTTGCAGCTATCACTGCCACCCAGGGGCGGACTGACCATTTGGAAACTCGGGCACTGACCGAGGGCCTGGGGTCAGTAGGGGGCCCCATGAGATGCCCCTGGTACCTTTTTCATAGGCTTTTTTTAATTTAGGCAAGGACACAGGGGCCCCATGATCCCCTATTGCCGGGGACCCCATGAGTTGTCAGTCCGCCCCTGCTGCCACCCCTCTGAAAAGCAATCTGCAGAGGCTTTTGACAGGTGGCCTGGAAGCAGTGTTAATAAACAGAAGATGCTATACAATATGTCCTCAATAAAAATATGTGCAGCCCAAACCCTATAAGTCCAAAAAAATTTTTTTTTTTTTTAAATCAAGTTCTTCTCAAATGATATCGTGTTCAAAAATCCTTCAGAAACTTCCTCCGATAATATTCCTCAAAAAAAGAAAATTTTTACATAGTGCATTATCTTTTTAAATCAAATAAATTATAATGACTTTATTCAAGTAGATACCCAATCACATTAACAATCAGTGAAAACGTGAATAAAGTGAAAAAAACTGTGAATCCAAAGCAATGAAATACCACTGTGAATGTGAATCACTCTTCAGTGCTCTATTCAAACCGGCACTGTGACACTTCTAAGTGCAGTAAGGAATGCATACCCTTACCAAAATTCCAAAAAACAGACGCTTTTATATCTTTCCAAAAGATAGGTGGGAGACAGTTCTCCTATGGATCTTTACCCAGTTAAAACTGCCTTCATAATATCATCAGGATCCAAAAAGCCTTGAGACTCCATATATCCCCATCAAGCATGTTTCATATAAATGCAAACAAATAAGGGACACAATAATGTGATACCGCCAAGATCAATCATCAATTTAACTTTTTATTCAGGGTGCTTACATTTTACAAACTTGAAAAAACGCTTTAAAATACCAAATTGTGGTTTTGCTGTCATCCAGGAAGTGCCCAGGGGAAATCAGATGGTCTTTCCCTCATCCAAAATGGCCGCCGGTCAACTTCCGGTTCCCGTGTGCATGTTGACGTCACTTCCCCTTGACGCGTTTCGTCATCGACTTAATCATAAGGGATCACTGGAAGCAGTGTTGCCTCCTGGATGCCTGTTTTAACCGTTAAATCTCATAGCAGTGCACTGCAGCAGCATGCCTTATATGCAGTTCCAAGGTGGTTGTGCACAGTCCAATTTACGTGAATGGTTGGCATTTAAAGGAAATACTTCTTACCAAATGCAACCTGTGGTACCCTTTTTGCTGCACCACGGCAGTGTGTACTAACTTGCGGTTGGGCAGTCGGGGGCTGTAAAACTACAACTCAACCAACGAGGCCTTAGGGACTCTACAGTGTGATCTCCAGCCAAGGTCTCCGTTCTCTCATCTCTCTGTGACATACATTGCTGTCACCATTCTGCTGCCACCAATTTAAGCTGAAGTCTCCATGTGTTAGGCTACGTTCACACTAGCGGTGTGTGCAGGCGGCAGAGAGGCGTTTTTTACCGCTTCCCAAACGCCTCTGACAATTCTGCACATTGCAGCACATGGTGCTGTTCTAAGGGGGGCGTTAGCATTGTGGCAAAACGGACGCCTCTGGTCGAGTCAGGAGGCGTTGAAGCCTCCTATTCTAGTCTATGGTGCCGCTCCGCAAACGCCCGGCCGGTTGCGACACGGTTGCGGCGGCGTTTGCAGAGCGGTAACACCAAATTAAACTTCATTATAGGCGTTTGCGGAGCGTTTTTAACGCTCGGCAAACGCCTAGCAGCCGCCGCTAAACCGCGCATGCGGCGTTTGCGGAGCGTTAAAAAAACGCTCTGCAAGCGCCGGACCAACGCTTGCCAAAATGCTATAGGGGCGTTTGGCAAGCGTTGGTAAAACAGTCAAGTGTGAACGAGCCCTTATTGTGTCGGAAATTGTGAAGAGGATATTTAGCGGCCACAGCAGGTGCCGGAGCTGGGCACTGAGAAGGAAGACACAGTGCTGGGATCTTGAAGAGTGTTAACAAGCTTGTTATTAAAATAAACAAAACCAGCGCTCAAATCTTCATGCAGACTAGGATCACTTTAAATGCCATGCGTTGAGGTGCAGCCCTTAGAAGATGGGAAATCTTGGTACTAGTAAACAAAAGCAAAACAGGGCGCGTTCTCTTCGTACATTACCTTGGTGAAACACAAATTTATTTAAAAGCATATACATGCATGTTCACAATCCAAAGGGGGATAAAAACAGAAAAGAAGAGTCCGTAATAACAGTCCAAAGTGACGGTAGACCCTTGGTGGGGAAGTCTAACGCGTTTCTGTCCATACGAAATATGAGTGGATGCACCCTTTATACCTGGTTATTTCAGTTTGTCCATAGAAAGTAAAGAGTGGAAACAATTGATTAGAATTGTATTTAAAACATTTCAGTATTTTCCTTCTATAAAATAATGAGTTCCAAGAATGAGAAGGGAAATTGAGTTAACAGGTCTCGTTCAGCTCCTGACCACAGATAGATCTTTCCAGAGCTTGTGATACGAGTTACCTGGAACTGCATATGTTTAATGCCAGGAAACGATGGTCATTTTGGTCATTTTATATTCATGTGGTAGACTGTTGCAAAGTAGCAGCTGCTTCATAGAAATGTCTTCAAACAATCTGATCTTGCTAGTAAGTTGGTTGTAGCTTCCATCCTTATGTTGTCTTGTTCAGCTGTACTGTCTTAGATATCATGTGGAACCTTTCTGATCTCCTCCTCGATGTTGTACTGGTGGGATCTCTGTTACACTCTCCTCTTGTGTGTCCCTTGATTTCTCTGGCCTTTTTCATCCTCATTCCGTCTTTCCTCTCTTGCCTGCATATATTCTCTCCTGATCTGAGGCCATTTCTTTGCAGAAGACTTTTCACCCCTCTCTTAGTGTCCTTCTCTGTCTGTGTTCTCCAGTCTCTTACTTAGCAGCCCCTCTCTCCCCATCTTACTAACACTGTTCTGTGTCTGCTTTGCTCTCTCTCCCCACGTTCCTCAGTACTTCTTCTGCTGCTTCTATCTTATATGTTCTCCCTTTTTTGGGCCTGCTCTGTTGCTTTAACCAGATGCAGGGTCGTCTTAATGAATGGGCACACCCAGGGGCGGACTGACAACTCATGGGGCCACCGGGCAATAGGGGATCATGAGGCCCCTGCATCCTTGTCCAAACTCAAAAAAGCCTATGAAAAAGGTACCAGGGGCATCTCATGGGGCCCCCTACTGACCCCGGGCCCTTGGGCGGTGCCCGAGTTTCCAAATGGTCAGTCTGCCCCTGGGCACACCTGGGCACCGCCCAGGGGCCCTAAATACATAGGGGGCTCATAATCAAGGCCAGGACAAGGGAGGGTAAACAACTAGGGCCAAAGGAAGGCCAATAGGAGGTTACAAGGCAGACCAGGCAGCTAATTAAGAAAAAAACAGGCTTTATTCAATCCATATAGTACAAAAACCAGAGACGGCGGTGTCAGCCAGCACACGGTGCACTACGATCAGCCCCTACCATTTACAGCCACTAAGGGCTTACACACCAGCGTGCATCTCTGAGACCCCTCTAAGGGCAAGACGCTCTTGTGACTGCCATCAAATGGAGAGTAGAAAACACCTTATGTCTTTATGTCTTGAATGGATCAATGGCCATTATGGATGCTCTGAAGTGGGATGGGTGAGACACCTAGATGACACCTGCATGCCTATTACTACATCCACTGGCTATTCGAACTTTGCCCACTGTGTGCTCACCATCATGTGGAAGAGCAGATGTACCTCAGTGACGGCTTTTCCGGTATTTTGATGCTGACCAGACTGGACTGTGCTAAAGAACGTCCACACACACCCAGACTGCTCTATTTGTTCTCTATTTGACCTATGTACATGTTCACACCTGGAAGAAGGACTACTGGCCCAGTACACACATTCCTGGATAGCTGAGGTTCTACTCCATGACACGGGCCAAATGCCCTACAGTTGTACCCACTTATAATATTCATGGACTTCAGTCCCCTTCTTTAATTGATCACTAAGTGATTCTATAGTGTGTGGATGAGTGAGGTGAATGTGTGGTTTACTGGCTGTTCAGCCCTCTGTCTTGACCAGACAACGTTGTCTTTTTGAATTTTCTATATGGTATGTAGGTATTCTATTGCTCCTTTAAGTGTACTATATGGATTGAATAAAGCCTGTATTTTTCTTAGTTAGCCATCTGGTCTGCCTTGAGATATATTGAGATATATACTCACAAAAGTAGCATAGGTAAAAGCATATAAAAAATCCAACAGTGTACTGGAATAACAGGCAGGTGCAGGTCCCATCAAGTGGGGAGACTCTCAGAATGAAGCTGACGCGTTTTGAAGGGAGATCACTTCTTCCTCAGAGCTAGTCAAACCGAGAATACCCTCCTGTATATATAACACCAGGCCATGTGTGGACTTACCAATATGGGCGAGACATTCACATCATGGGAGGTGTACACATTGTTTTATCGGTTTTTATGTTTATTTTGAGTTGTCACGCTGTTGCCCCACCTCCCATGATGTGAATGCCCCGCCCATATGGGTAAGCCCACACATGGCCTGGTGTTATATATACAGGAGGGTATTCTCGGTTTGACTAGCTCTGAGGAAGAAGAGATTCCCCCTTCGAAGCATGTCAGCTTCATTCTGAGAGTCTCCCCTCTCGATGGGACCCACTCCTGTCTGCTATTCCAGTACGCTGATGTTGGATTTTTTATATACTTTTCGCTATGCTACTTTTGGGAGTATATATCTCAATTTAATAAATTCACCCTTTACTTACTGAGGTAATGCACAAGGTTGGTGCGCTTTTGTTCTTCGTTACTGCCTTGTAACCTCCTACTGGGCTTTCTTTTGCCCTAGTTGTTTGCAGATTAGCCGTGAGTTAAGCGGAGCACACCATTTACTTGATTTATTTTTCTGAGGTAGGAGTAACTGCAATGTCACTCCTGTCAGAAGGAGCGTGGTTGGCTTTTGCTGGAGAAAGGATTTAGCTTTCTTCTTCCTTTCCTCAGGTGGCAGAAAAGAGCCAGCGCTGAGACTGAGAACTCACTTCAGTCTCAGTGCAGGAGAGGAAGGAGAAGCTGCATTTATTGCAGGAGAGAACAGTATTTGTGATCTGTGAGTACAAGGGGGGGGGGGGGGCAGATGCACTGTGATGGGGGAACCTGATGTATGGGGGCACTGTGAATGGGGAACCTGATGTGGCTGAAGTGACTGTACAATATATACATATGTATATATACACACACATGTAAAGCGCTGCGTAAATTGACAGTGCTAAATAAGTATCTGTAATGAATAAATAAATAAATGTATGGGGACACTGTGAATGAGATACCTGATATATGGGGGCACTTTGAATGGGGAACCTGATGTATGAGTGCACATTGAATAGGGAATCTGATGTATGGGGACACTGTGAGTGGGGAACCTGACTTATGGGGACACTGTGAATGGGGAATCTTATTTATCGGGACACTGTGAATGGGGAATCTGATTTATTGGGACACTGTGAATGGGGAATCTTATTTATCGGGACACTGTGAATGGGGAATCTGATTTATCGGGACACTGTGAATGGGGAATCTGATGTATGTGGACACTATGAATTTGGGGACCTGATGTATGGGGGCACTGGGAATGGGGATCCTGATGTATGGGGGCACTGTGAATGGGGAATCTGATGTATGGGGGATGTGAATGGGAACCTGATGGGAAGACACTGTGAATGGGAACCTAATGTATGGGGACTAACCAGATGTATGGGGACTATGTGAATGGGAACCTGATGTATGAAGACACTGTGAATGGGGAACCTAATGTATGGGGACTATGTGAATGGGTAACCAGATGTATGGGGACTATGTGAATGGGAACCTGATGTATGAAGACACTGTGAATGGGGATCCTGATGTATGGGGACACTGTGATGGTGGTACCTGATGTACCTTATTTTTAATCACAAGGTCAGTGCCAACATACAATCTTTTCTGCAGATGCTCTGGAGCAAGTCATTCTTAATGATGCAGTGTGCACAGCAGAAGGGTGGGTGGAAATTGCAGAAGAATGCTCCAACAACAACTACAAGCAACTGTCTGAAAGGATCATGTCTGTTGTCACATCACAAGATGGAGTAGTGGAGATCCCCCCGAAAGACGAAGATGCAAAAATTATGGAACACGTCTACATGTAATTCCTGTGGTGTGGCAGCAGGGGGAGCACTGCTACAAACATGCTAAATAAATTCTATTCTACCATCTATCATCTAAGCTAAATCTAGTTTGATCAGTTTGTGTTCCGTTGTGATGTCATTCTTTATCTGTCGGGGTGCGTACTGATTTTATTATTATTTTGCAAGTGAGATTATAACATCATCTAAAAAATAACAAAGAAACAATTTTCCAGGATAAATTAAAAAAAATGCTGCATTCCACAGTCTGCACAAAATGACAATCAAGTAATGATCTGTGGTGGTCTCTGTAAGTAGTGTATGTGGCCTTTAGAGGTAAACATACTACACAAGTTCTGGTGATATGGGCACCAGAAATTAGTAAACTTTTAGAACACATAGTTGAAGTATAACTAAAGGGAAAACATTTTCTTTTCTGTTTATGGATAGAGCGAAGTGGGATAAGAACCCCTGTCAGGTTTTTATTGCTGTCTGTGTCCCCGCTGGAGAGGTTCACCCTCTCTATTTGTCCTGGTTACCATTATCACTGAAAGTGAAAGAGAATTCCAATTTTGGGTTGTCACCAAAACAATAGAGGGGAAATCTCCCCAATGGGACACAGACAGGGGTTATAACCCTCCCTTAGAAAAAATAAAACAAGAGCGCACCACCCTAGCGCATTATCGCAGATACAAGTTTATTAAAAAATGTATACGTTTATACTCACAAACAACTGAAGACAAAATCTCATAGCAAGTGACAGTCACTGAATGTAAATTGCACAGAGAGCCAAAGGCTCTGACAAGTGCCTTCCGAGGGCCAAATAGAGACTGACGCGTTTCGAGGGAAACCCTCTTCCTCAGAGCCCTCAAAACGCATCAGCCTCTATTTGGCCCCCGGATGGCACTTCTTTGATATCTGGGCCTTTGGCTCTCTGTGGAATATACATTCAGTAACTGTCACTTGCTATGCGATTTTGTCTTTGCGAGTATAATCTTATACATTTTTTAATAATTTTGTATCTGGGATAATGCGTTAGGCTGGTGCGCTATTGTTTTATTTTCTCTGCAGTTACCTCTGGACTTCTCCAGTCGTACACAAAAGTAACGAGGATTGGCCTACACATTGGAATTTTCATATATATCTGTGTTCCACTGAATATCTCTGTTTCCATTCTCCCACACCCATGCTCAGAAGCATTATAACCCTCCCTTAGCCCTGGTTCACATCTGTGCGGTCATGCAGGCCATGATTTGCGCGGGCGCGAGAGCTCGTTCATTTGAATGGACTCCTGTGCCCCGGGACATGCAGAGAAGAAGTCCCTACACTACTTTGGAAATCGCAGCCCGCACGGCAACCGCAGTTCCCAGTACGGTTGCGATTTCCAGTGAGGGCGGCGCGCCATTAGAATTAATAGCACCTGCCTGCGGGTCCCACATTCCTCTGTGTGAGTGGTGCAGCTGCAGGTATTTGTGCAGGTCCCACAGCGGCACCACCCACACAGATGTGACCCAAGGCTTATGTAGGCCATAGACGGGTCAAAAATTGGCCGATTTTTCGGCCGAAAAAAAAATCAAATCATACGATTTTCGCACCGTTAATGGGTTAATTGGTGGTCGGCCGTTTTTTGGGGGTTTTGGCACATTTTTTTTTTTTATCAGTGAAGTTGGAAAAAAGAAGAAGAAGAAGAGTGGAGATCCTCCCCGAAAGACAAAGAGAGGGTTTCCCTCGAAACGCGAGGGAAGAAGAAGAAGAAGAAGAAGAAGAAGGAGGAGAAGAAGAATTATTCCAGTCCGCTATTATATTTGACATGAAAAAGTATTGCGGTTGCAACAATGTATCGATTTGTATCCGAATAAAAACATCTGTATCCGAAATGGATACAGATACATTGTTGCAACCGCAATACTTTTTCATGTCAAATATAATAGCGGAGCTCTCTGCAAGGGACAGAAGTAATTAAATGCCGGCCGTAGACGGGACAAATATCGGCCGACTGTTTTTTTACCATTGGTGGTAACGTCGGCCTATTGAACGACCGATTTTTCGTTTTTTGTTTTTTAAAAAAACGGCCGGTTTTCGTCCCGTCTATCACCTGCATTACTCTGTTGAAAAAAAGTTTTGGCTTTTGTTCCCTTTTGAATTCTAAGTGCATGTGACCCCTCACCCTGTACAACAACCCGTTCAGTTTAAAATAGAAATGAAAGGTAAAACATTTGTATATATAAGCTTTATAATAACCTTTTTCCCTTTTTTTTTATTTTATTTTATAGGTGATCACATAATCTCTGTCCTCAGCTGCATGAGAGGCTTAGACAGCTAGTTGTGGAGAAACAGCAGTGCACTGATCTTCCCAGTGAATGGGAGTGCAGGAGGGGGGGGTGTACCAGCACAAGTCTTGGTCATTGGAGGACAGGTAGGCTGTGGTCTCAGCACAGTCAGAAAAATTCCCACATTGTGCCCACATGTGCTCTCATGCTCTGGTATGGTCAATTTGAAATAGGAAAGCAGGGGGACTGGCAAAATCACCAGCTATTTCATACAGAGGAAAAAAAATAAAAAAAAAGGGAAAAATGTTATTATAGTGCTTATATATACAAATATATAAGTATTATAATACCCTCTTTCCCTTTTTTTTTATAGGTGATCACATACTCTCTGTCCTCAGCTACATAAGAGGCTTAGAGAGCTAGGGGTGGAGAAACAGCAGTGCACTGATCTTCCCAAGGAATGGCAGTGCAGGAAGGTAGGGTGTATCAGAACAAGTCTTGGCCATTGGAGGATAGGCAGGCTGTGGTCTCAGCACAGTCAGAAAAATTACCACACTGTGCCCACATGTGCTCTCATGCTCTGGTATGGTCAATTTGAAATAGGAAAGCAGGGGGACTGGCAGAATCACCAGGTATTTCACGCAGAGGAAAAAATAAAAAAAGAACTTTTTTTTTCATACAAGTACCTGGTACAACAGACACCTACCAGGAATATGAAATGTTGGGGTAATATATTCTTTAATAAGCACAGCAGGCAATAAAAATCATTTGACCCTTTTGCTGCTAGAGCACATGTTAAATTGCGCATGTTTTTTAGTGAAAGTTAACTTTTAATTTAAATTAATTTTTTGGCAACTCTTTCCTGGAAAGACTGGAAGTTCAGGGAGGCAGCACTGAAAGAGCAGCAGCATTGGAGGGGGGAGTAGCCAAAAAGAAGATAGTCCTTTTAAAGTGATATTAGACACACAGTTCTTCAGCCTAGGATGGCAAGGCACTCCTCTGTTTCTCTCTTCTCCCTTCTCCAAGCTAACAGACTGGCTGATGACGGCACTGTCCACTGTTAATGCTTTGCTGAGAAGACCGGAACTTCAGGGAAGCAGCACTGAGAGACGAACACTGAAAGATTTAAAGTGCTAGTGCTGGGGTAAGTATTGTAACAAATAGTTTACTGGGGAATGTGTATTTTATTGTGTTCAAAATGTATGTTACCTCAACATTTTACATTCGTGATATGTGCCTGCTGTACCATGTACTTGTGTTAAAAAATCTCCTGTTCTCTTTGTATTGCATCCTTTGTGTGAAATACTTTGTGATCCTGCCAGTCCCTCTGCTTTGCTATTTCAAACTGACCACACTAGGCATGGGAGCACATCCATCTCAGCGTGGTCAGCTTTCTGGCTGTGCTGGGATAGCAGCCTGCCTGTCCTCCAATGGCCAAGACTTGTGCCGACACCCCCCCCCCCCCCAAAAGCCATTCACTGGGAAGATCAGTGTATTGCTTTATTCTGCCTCCTCCAATGGCTCCTGTTGCTGTCTTAGCCAATAGGGAGGGAGAGTCCCTGGAGAACCGAGGCTCTCATGCACATTGCTGGATTGAGATAGTGCTCAGGTATTAGTGGGGGGGGGGGGGGCTGGGTGGCTAGGTTTTTAACCTTCATGCACCTTGAGCCTTTACAACCACTTTAATACTACATTGTAGACCAAATCTGACCAAAGGCCTTTTTAGGTCAAATCTGCCTGTTCTGTAACAATGACGATGCCCGGGAGAAAAGTAACTCAATCGTTGGCCTTTGGAAGATTGCGCATTTGAAGAGAAATGGAGCGTTGGGTGATGTGTCAATGTCTAAGTGCTGGGGATGAGAAACCAGCACCTGATTTAGCTTGTCAGCAACCACGCAATCAATTTTGGGGTAGAAATTGCTTTCAAGCGAATGGAGAGCAGATAAAGAATGGTTTAAACATACAGTACAGGATCTACACAATGCATGGTGTTATCTCAGGCTCCTCTCTGTCTGTCACTTTCCTGTCCTTTTCCTGTCTGTAGATGCCACGCAGAGAAGATCACTGCTTCTCATCTTGCTCCAAATTCAAAGAAGTTGGGACACTGTGTAAAAATCTACATAAAAACAGAATGCAACCAGTATTGTATTTATAATATATTAGATATTCTGTATAAAGCCCTACAGAACAGACAGTGAACAGTCCACATGTGTTTATTTACTGCTTCTCTGCAAACAGGAAACAGGAACTTTATTCAGAGAAAAGAAATAGAGTTAAATCATAGATGCAGATACAAATTTATAAACACTGCCATCTACTGGTTGAAAAATATATCTCTACTGAATACTTATGTAGTTGTACAAAGAATACATGAACACTATATTCCAACACCCTCACTCAACAACTACTTCTTATATTAGTCCCATTTCAGATCTCAGTTTTATAAATCTATTTCTTGTAAGCAGTTTTGTCATCTCTTCATCAGCAGCTCTGATCCACATTTGTTTCTAATGGGTTGGACATTTTTGCATCTCATCCCATTAATCTGGCTCTGGTTTTAATGCTACTTGAGCAACATAAGACAGACGTTTGGCTGAGATGCCTTTATTTTCTTCTGGTGGATTTCCCAACTGAAGCCCCTTTTGGTCCGGTTTCTTCTTTTACAATATTTGGATTAATTGGTCTGAATTAATTTTTGTTACTTTGTTGCTTGTCTTTATGTGACACTGATGTGGAATTTCCATCAGCTTGAAG